GTGACACTAGACTAAGCACAAAGGAAAAGACAAAAAGGTTAAACTTGCTGCTGGTGACAAATCCCTCCTCTCTTTTGTCCTTCTCCTTATTCTTGAGGGGCGCTAGGGGGCGAAGGTCCATCTTTTGTACCCCCGCCCCCCGAAGAGGACCAGCCTTCTTCCCAGATGCCTTTAGATGTGTTTGATGGTCACCAGGCCTCAACCCTAACTGTTCGTATTGCTGAGCGACCATCATTTATCTAACCCTTTGGAGACAAAGGACACCAGATAATTTAAGATACATGGCCCAAATATTAGCAAGAGCAAGTATTTCCTAAAAATGCAGGTATCTAGGTCTTTTGCCTGTAGGCCAATGTGCCCTGATATGGAGGCTCACTGCAGTGAGCCTAAGTATCCCTGGTCACACTTTGTTGTTTTTTTGGAAGAAAAGCTTCAGGTCAGAGAGAGGTTCGCATGAGTCAGGGGGGGTCCGTGGCCCCAGGTTGTCTCTCCGGAGGTAGCGTTTAGGGTCCTCTTCACTCAAGGGTGATGTGCCCACAGAGCGATCCCTGCAATGTCAGGGCAGAGTAGGTGGTTAGGGTCACCGAGTGGGGTCCGTTCCCCTTAGGACTGAGCTGGTCTTGCAGGCTGCTGGTTTTCCAGGTTTTTAGGTGTCCCCAGTCTCCTGGCCAGAATGGTTGGAGGGCCAGGTTGGTGGGTGCAGGCAGCACCTGGTTACCATATTCCATGAAAGCTTTCATAGTTTCCCCTCCCTGGAGGGCACACTTGAGTTGTTCCATTTCAAGTCAAGGTGTCCATTCTCTCGGGCTCGGGTAGTGGCTGTACCATAGATGAGTTCAAAGGCACTTAACTTTCACTTATCCCTTGGGGCTAATCACATGCGGAGCAGGGCAACTGGAAGCAACTTAATCCAGTCTTCTTGAGTTTCTGGACATAGCTTGGCTAAGGCCCATTTCAAAGTCTGACTGGAGCTTTCTTCTCTCCCCAACAACTGAGGTCTCTAGGCTGAGTGCAAGGTCCGCCCACAGTGCTCGTTATATCCCCTTCGTCACTTGAGACACAAATGCTGGGCCATTATTACTTTGTAGGGACCCTGGAAGCCCAAACCTGGGAATTATTTCTGTTGGTAACGTTTCTATACACCCAGAAAAAGAGTCTGCTAGCACCAAGAGATACCTGAAATTGCCAGGTACTCTCGCCATGCCAGTGAAATCAGCCTGCTAATCTTCCCCAGGATATGTCCCTCTGGTCTGAATGGGCCTTACCTGGGGGCCTCTAAGGGGTCTGGTGTTGGAGTTGTTCATTGTGCAGACGGGGCATGTCTCAACTATGCGACTGATTATACTTTTCATGCCAGGAGTTACCATGACCTCAACTAGCCAATTATATACCTTTAGTGAGTTCCTTGATGAGCCTCCCTGATGGCTTGACAAGCTGCAATTTGGGTGAAGAAGTATTGCCCGTGTTCACTAACTAGCCACCCACGGCCTCCTAGATCTCTGTCGAAGCCCCATTTTCAGGCTCTGTTTAATTCTTCCTCTGTGCAGATTGAGGAACAATTGGATGGATCTGGCCTTTGAGGTATGAGGGGTAGTTGCCAAGTTACTGGTTCTAGGGCTGCCCTTTCAGCAGTTGCATTGGCCTTGTCATTTCCCTTTATTACCTCTGCATCCTTCTCTTGGTGACCCCTACAATGAATCACTCACCTTTTTTGGAAGCTGTACTGCTTCTAAGAGCTTCAGTATATTTAAGCCATGTTTCACCCATTTATTCTCCACAGCAGGCATACTTCTTTCCTTCCAGATAGCCCTGTGTGTGAAGGATGGCATATCGTGGGAATCTTCCCTAAGACTCAGGTGAAGACTATCAACTAGGCCTTTTGGACAGAAGTCCCTGGGGGTAGGTTTCTTGCTTCTATGACTTAGGTCTGGGAGGTCACTGCCTACCCTGACAGCCTTTTTCCTTCTCTCATAAAACTGCTCCCATCTGTGAATCATTCCTCTTCGGTATTTGGGAGAGGCTCACTTCCTAGGTCAAGGCGACTGGAATAGATCGTGTCTATGGCTTCTATATAATCATGCTCCAAGGGCCCTATTTCTGTGGGTAGCAGGGTAGCAGGATCTAGCCAGTGACAGTTTTTTTATGGTAACCACTGGGTTGCCTAAAGGCATAGCGTGAACTTGAATCGACTTTCTGGGGGTTAGCCATTCTGTTCCCTTAGAACTTAACTGAAGCCTGAAGCCGGTGTGGAGTCCGTATAGTGATTGGCTGACCAAATGTTAACTTTTCAGCCTCCTTTAGCAGGGTTGTAGTAACTGCTATTGCTGGTAGACAAGGAGGCCGTCCCTTAGCAGTTTGATCTAATTGGTTGGAGAAATAAGCAACCACCTGAGTAAGGGGTCCCATTTTTTGAGCTAATACGCCAAGGGCGATTCCCTTTCTTTTATGAATGTAAAGGTCAAAGGGTTTAGCTAAATTTTGGAGGGCCAGGAGACGAGTCTGAAGTAACTGCTTTTTCAGTTCTTCAAAGGCCCCTTCACATTCTGAATTCCATTCAAAGGATCATTATCTTTTCTTTTCAACTTTTCATACAGAGTCCCAGCTATTAAACCATAGTTAGGGATCCAGACGTGGCAAAACCTGGCCATCCCCAGGAAACCCCTAAGCTGTCTTTTAGTTTCAGGAGGGGTGAGGCAGCAAATGACTTCTTTCCTTTCCTGGGGTATGCTTCTCTTGCCTTCTGTGAGAATGAAGCCTAGGTAGGTCACCCTAGTTTGTGGTGTTTGAACCTTTTTCTTGGATACCTTATATCCTTTATCTGCTAGGTTGTTCAGGGTGGTTACAGTATTTTTGTCAGAGGCCTCCTTAGTAAGGCTGGCAATCAGAATTTCGTCTACATACTCGAGGAGGGTTCCCTCCTCCAGACGTAGATCTTTTAGGTCTTTAGCTAAAGTTTTCCCAAAGATGGTGGGAGAATTTTTGAACCCTTGAGGCAGGACTGTCCAGCAGTATTGTTGTTTTTGTTGCATGTTTGGGTCCTGCCATGCAAAAGCAAAACTTTCTTGTGGCTCTGTGGTTAATGGAATACAGAGGAAGATATCTTTTAAATCTGATACAGAGCCCCAGGTCCTGGTGGACGGTAGAGCGGCCAGCAGGGTGTAGGATTAGACACTACTGGGTGTATATCTTCAGTGGCTTCATTGACTGCCCTGAGGTCCTGTGCCACCTGGTATTTCCCATTGGGTTTCTTTACGGGGGGAATGGAGGTATTACAGGCTGACTGACATGGTCTAATAAGGCCCTGGTCAGTTAGGCCCTGTGACATGGGCAGTTCCCAACAAGACCTCCCAGCAGAGTGGGTACTGTTTTCTATTGGGCCACGTATGTACAGATTTTAGATGGACTATCATGTGACTGGCTCCTACAGCTCATCCCACCCATCCCTGGGCCCAGACCTCGGCATTTATTCCAGGGAAATCAACTTGCTCTGTCTGGGGAGGTTTGTCCTCAGCCATTAACATTATCATCTTGTGCCCTTTGTCTAAGGGGACACCAGTCTCCAATTTGTCTCCCATTAGGTGTACAGTAGCTCCCAAGATATCTCTTCCTAGCAAAGGTATGGGGCACTCGGGAACATGCAGGAAGGAATGGGTGAGCCTATGTTTGTCCAGTTTACATTCTGATGGTTCTATGAATGCCCGTTCTTGGACCTTCCCTGAGACCCCCATAATTTTACAACTCTTGTGACTGAGTTTACCTGATCTGGTGTTCAGAACTAAGTAAGTGGCATGAGTGTCAACTAAGAATTCAACAGGCTTTCCCCCCATGTCCAATATTAGCTGAGGCTCCTAGGGGTCAATTGGTGTGCCAGCTTAGCAGCCCCCTGGCCCCATCATTCTTCATCTATCTGGTATTCCCTTCCAATGACTCAGGGTGGGTGGTAGTATAGATTCAGAGGCATTTCCTGAATGCACTTCTGCACATGGTCTGCTGAGCTGAAGTGTCAGGCACAGCCATTTCACACTAGGAACTCTGGTCTGAAATGCTGGGTACAAGGCCTCTTCACATGGTATCCTATGAGCAGGTGAAACTAGACTAAGTACAAAGGAAAAGAAAAAGGTTAGACTTTATTACCCAGTTTCTACTTTTATTTCTCGGGAATTGTTAATGGACTTTACCAGTGACACAGCCACCACTGTAAATAGCTCTGCTTCCACTGTTACTACCATTCTTAGTTTATACGAATCCATGGTTTATGTCTGTTATATATGCCAAGGAGATAATTACCAAAAAAAAAAAATCAAGAGGAGAAATATTTGGTAGCCCTTTCCATATATAGTATATCAATATCGTAATAGTGATACTTCCATTGACAGAGTGTTAGGAGCTTGAAAGATCAGTCAGAAATACAAATATAAATAACAACAGAATAAAGTATAAATAAGCATACAGTATAATAAGACATTAAGCATATAAGACACAAAGTAAAATAAGCATGAAGTAACAAGCCTAAATCACAAGAATAATTACTTTATTTATATGAGAACATGCCACACAATTTCCTTTTGTAAAAAAGAAAATTTCTTAATTCAAGTTGTAAACATGTTATATACATAAATCACATTCTGATAGAATATATCTATTGGGTAAAATAACATGCATCAACAGTCTACTTCTTGTCTAGGATGTTCAGGTCATGCATGAGATGTTTCTTATTATTGTCTGCAGTAAGCTTGATTTCCCTGATTAATTGCTTTAAAACGGAGCAACCATGAAATATAAGTTCTCCTATGTTTTTAACAAGGCATGTTGTACTAAATCAGTATCTGGGATTACAGCATCCAGTGGGATAGGGGATGATATACTGGTTCTACTGCCTGCAATTGGGAGCAAGAACAAAGGGCTGCCACATTTCTGGGACTTGCCTTTTCCCACAGACCCTATGCCTGCCAACGAAGGAGTTACAACTCTAGATATTTCTGATCCCTCTGTCCCTTCAGGAATCCATAAGTTTAAAGGCCAGATCCTGCACAGTCAAGAGTACAAGATCCCAACAGGCTTTCAGGACAAACGCGTCTTAGTGATCGGTCTTGGGAACACTGGAGGGGACATTGCAGTGGAGCTCAGTCGAACTGCAGCTCAGGTACACCATCTTTGAATCTGCACTCCCACCCCCAGCATCATTTCTGGTGTCTGGAGAGTGGTATTCAAGATTATAAAACACACCGGCCAATCGCAAAATTATGTGGACACAGGGTGAGTGAAAAAAAAATGTTGAAAATCCCTAAAGCCTCTCATAACGCACGCTTTACAGAACTGAACCATCTCCAAGAAGGGTCTAAGAAAATTGTGTGGATGCCAGACCACTAAGTATTTTTCAGAGGTACCCCTGGAACAAGATCAAATGAGCAAATTGTTCTACCCATGCTAACTGTCTTTCTTTCACACTCTCTCTCTCTAATTCTGGAAAGAAAAACCATGTAAAAAGAGAAAGGGGAGGTTGTTTTCTGAACATCTCCAAGTTTTCAATTAGGAGTCAGATTTGTACTTCGTTTTGAGGTAAAAGCCCCCGTTACTTTGCCCAAGAAGTATGCATAATGATTTTAGAAATTCCAAGCATAGATCCACAAATTAGAAATCTACTCCACTTTATCATAAATTATAGGACAATGATTAGATTTAGAAATAATAGATTTTTATTTAATTTAGTTAAAATTGCTTTCTCAAAACCTCACTTTAAATCCTATACTATTTACATGTAAAAAACTGCCAGCTCAATAGCACATGTCTACTAGTACTATAATTCTTTACTTTAAACATGATGAAAATACTTAACCGATACATAGATCAGGTCAAAGTGATTTATGAAAATAATGACAGCAGTGGGAACACCTTGTCATTTGTAGATCTAGGTACAACTTCACCAGTCCTCTGTTGTTATAAGACCAGAATGTTATAAATCGTTTGAAACATATTGAAGAAAAATACTACAAAAATGATGCACATGTATTTATCCTTCTTGCCTTACTTTTTAGGTTCTTCTCAGTACTAGAACTGGTACCTGGGTCATCAGCCGCTCTTCAAATGGGGGCTACCCATTTAATATGATGACTACAAGACGACGCCACAATTTTACTGCACAAGTTCTGCCTTCATGTGTACTAAAGTGGAGTCAAGAGAGGGGCTTGAATAAAAGATTTGATCATACGAATTATGGACTAAATATTACTAAGGGGTACTTATATTTTTATTTACTGGTAAAGTTATTTAATCAATATTTCTCATTCTATTTTATTCAGAACTCAAAATGTTCAATTATTGTGACATTGCCTTTGTTTACCCTGTTCTAAGCTTATTCTTTTAAGACAATGTCTATCAGTACCACAGAGGTTCTTGAAATAGGAGTACTCTCTGTCTGGTAGCAAAATAGTAATTGATGAGGCTAGAAGAAAATGAAGGATGGAAACTTTATTTCCAGTTTGAAAATTACGAAATTTAAATTGGCCTTGAGGGTTCACAGGATGGCTGCCATCCACAAATAGAATATTTCCAGCAACAGTGAGTGCAGATGGCCAGCTCTCACTAACTTTTAATAAATGTCTACTCTGGCTGAATGATTAGAGGTATGAATTGCCAATAGGAATTCCTAGAGTTATATATTTTAATACACATCTATATAGAGCTACACATTGGCAAGGAAAAGGAAAACTTTGAAATGCATGTAAAGTCATTAAATATGATTTTTATTATATGCATGACCCAAATATGTTTTCTTGGGTAAGATAGCTTTCAACTTACGAAGAAAATTAATAACAAAGAATGATTCAATATGTAAATTTTATAGACATTATGTCTGCTGCAATTAGGTAGAATGATGTTCATAATGAAAATATTTATTATTAAAATCTATCAGTAGATTCAATTTTTTTTTTTTTGGCGGTATGCGGGCCTCTCACTGCTATGGCCTCTCCCGTTGCGGAGCACAGGCTCCGGATGCGCAGGCGCAGCGGCCATGGCTCACGGGCCCAGCTGCTCCGCGGCATGTGGGATCTTCCCGGACCAGGGCACGAACCCGTGTCCCCTGCATCGGCAGGCGGACTCTCAACCACTGCGCCACCGGGGAAGCCCAGATTCAATTTTTTTAATCTAAAAATTTTTTTGTAATTTCCTCTTTGCCAAATGCCAATCCTTTGAGGTCTGGGTGATGTGGACCCAAAACTATCAAATGGATAGTTGTGTACTTGATCCTGACATTGCTCCAGAAATTAGACCCAGGAGATAGAGAATTTTAAACCCCACAGGAAAGAGTAGGTTTAGTCATTTTCTACATGCCTTCTACTGGGAGCAGGAAAACAAAAGATGCTATAGAAACAGTAAGTCAGATAGACAACTTTGAATTAGACATTGGTCAATTTACTCCCTTGACGTGGCAGATATTTTGAATTGACTAAATAAATCATTTGCTGAGTGTCTTATAAATATAACCACAGTGAATAATTTTCTCCTCTGTGTCAAAGGAAAAAACCAAAAACAATTGTGAATGATGAGCTGCCAACCTGTATCCTCTGTGGGACAGTCACTATGAAAACCAGCGTGAAGGAGTTTACAGAAACCTCTGCTCTCTTTGAAGACGGGACAGTGGAAGAAAACATCGATGTTGTAATCTTCACTACAGGATACACCTTTTCTTTTCCCTTTCTGGAAGAACCTCTCAAAAGCCTTTGTACAAAGAAGACATTCCTGTATAAGCTGGTCTTTCCCTCAAACCTAGAGAGGACAACACTGGCTATGATTGGCTTCATCAGCCTTACAGGATCCATCTTAGCAGGCACAGAGCTCCAAGCACGATGGGCCACAAGAGTATTCAAAGGTACCTGGACTCTATTTAAAGCCCTATGTGAACAAATGAGTCTTGAAACCAGTCCCCTGAGATTTAGCTAAAATCAAACAAATGTGAGTTAAAGAACCATAAAACATCCAAAAAAATTTTAGTGAAGAATTAATTTTATATATGTGTAATATTATGGTGGGTGTGCTTATGTCATTAATGTGACTGAGTGGAAAAAGAGGCTTTTACTCTGTGGACAGAATAAATTTGGACAACAAAATAAAATCACATTTCTCAGAGTAACTGAAAATATTAGAAGCTTCAGGATCCTGTTTTATACTACTCTAGTCAAATCAAGTCTAGTTTAGTCCATTTACTCCTAAGTCTTTCCATTTATGACTATCAGTAGAGTTTTATATTGCTTCCTAAGAAAGACACTGAAATAATATACACTGTGAATAAAGTTGGGGTCTAAGGAGATAGTGACTTTTAAGCAATGCCCATAAAAACACTGTAGACACTGGACACAGATTGCTATCAGTTATCACCGTAAGAGCAGAGATGATAGAGTCAGGGCTACTGGGGTCCAATCCCAACTCATTAGCTTTGCAAGGACCTCTTTAAATCTCAGTCCCTTTTTCTGTAAAATGAGGATAATAAAACCTGTTTCACAAAGGTTTTGTAAAACGAATAACGTCTACAAAGCAATTAGCACAGTTCTTGGCACAGAGTAAATGCTCATTAACTTACAGCTGTTGTTCTCACTGTTGCTATTATTATCATACCTCTGTAAAGTAGGGCAAGTTTTAGATTCATAAGCATTTTAAAGAATTCCATTTGTAACTGTATTACTGCATTTGTAAAAATATAAACCTCAATCACAGTTGAGCCAACCAGCTGTCCTTTAGCAGAATTATACCCTTAATGAATAAAAACAATCACAAATAATTTATCAATAGCATATAACACAATATTAAGTAGTACTGATTTCTGTCACACTGTAAAAATGTATTAGATATCAACCATACTTTAAAATGTTCTCCTAAATTGACAAACACGATATTTTAACCGGGAGGGTGAGGAGTGGAGGGGAGGAGAAGGTGATTAAGAAATCTCATTTATTTTTATTACAGAAAAAATTCCATGGCATTTGTGATTAAATTATTACAAATGTTTACTTAAGGCTAATTAAAGTGCTTTCACAGCATTTTCCAATTATATTAAAACAATAGCAAAGATCAATAAAACTAAAAGCTGGTCCTTTGAGAAGATAAACAAAATTGAGAAACCATTAGCCAGGCTCATCAAGAAAAAGAGGGAGAGGACTCAAATCAATAAAATTAGAAATGAAAAAGGAAAAGTTACAACGGACACCGCAGAAATACAAAGCATCATAAGAGATTACTACAAGCAACACTATACCAATAAAATGGACAACCTGGAAGAAATGGACAAATTCTTAGAAAGGTATAACCTTCCAAGACTGAACCAGGAAGAAATAGAAAATATGAACAGACCAATCCCAAGTAATGAAATTGAAACTGTGATTAAAAATCTTCCAACAAACAAAAGTCCAGGACCAGATGGCTACACAGGTGAATTCTATCAAACATTTAGAGACAGTTACCCATCCTTCTCAAACTCTTCCCAAAAACTGCAGAGGAAGGAGCACTCCCAAACTCACTCTGTGAGGTCACCATCACCCTGATACCAAAACCAGACAAAGATACTACAAAAAAAGAAAATTACAGACCAATATCAATGATGAATATAGATGCAAAAATCCTCAACAAAATACTAGCAAACAGAATCCAACAACACATGGAAAGGATCATACACCATGATCAAGTGGGATTAATCCCAGGGATGCAAGGATTCTTCAATATATGCCAATCAATCAATATGATACACCATATTAACAAATTGAAGAATAAAAACAACATGATCATCTCAATAGATGCAGAAAAAGCTTTTGACAAAATTCAACACATATTTATGATAAAAACTCTCCAGAAAGTGGGCACAGAGGGAAGCAACCTCAACATAATAAAGGCCATGTATGACAAACCCACAGCAAACATCATTCTCAATGGTGAAAAGCTGAAAACATTTCCTCTAAGATCAGGAACAAGACAAGGATGTCCACTCTCGCCACTCTTATTCAACATAGTTTTGGAAGTCCTAGCCATGGCAAACAGAGAAGAAAAAGAAATAAAAGGAATACAAATCGGAAAAGAAGAAGTAAAACTGTCACTGTTTGCAGATGACATGATACTATACATAGAGAATCCTAAAGATGCCACCAGAAAGCTACTAGAGCTAATCAATGAATTTGGTAAAGTTGCAGGATACAAAATTAATGCACAGAAATCTCTTGCATTCCTATACACTAACAACAAAATACCAGAAAAAGAAATTAAGGAAACACTCCCATTTACCACTGCAACAAAAAGAATGAACTACCTACAAATAAACCTACCCAAGGATGTAAAAGCCCTGTACTCAGAAAACTATAAGACACTGAAAGAAATTAAAGACGACACAAACAGATGGAGAGATATACCACATTCTTGGATTGGAAGAATCAATATTGGGAAAATGACTATACTACTCAATGCAATCTACAGATTCAATGCAATCCCTATTAAATTACCAGTGGCATTTTTTAGAGAACTAGAACAAAAAAATCTTAAAATTTGTATGGTGACACAAAGGACCCCGAATAGCCAAAGCAGTCTCGAGGGAAAAAAACGGAGCTGGTGGAATCAGACTCCCTGCCTTGAGACTATACCACAAATCTACAGTAATCAAGACAAAATGGTACTGGCACAAAAACAGAAATGTAGATCAATGGAACAGGATAGAAAGCCCAGAGATAAAGCCATGCACCTGTGGTCAACTAATCTATGACAAAGGAGGCAAGGATATACAATGGAGAAAAGACAGTCTCTTCAATAAGTGGTGCTGGGAAAACTGGACAGCTACATGGAAAAGAATGAAATTAGAACACTCCCTAACACCATACACAAAAATAAACTCAAAATGGATTAGAGACCTAAATGTAAGACCAGACACTATACAAATCTTAGAGGAAAACAGGAAGAACACTCTGTGACATAAATCACAGCAAGATCTTTTCTGACCCACCTCCTAGAGTAATGGAAATAAAAATAAAAATAAACAAATGGGACCTAATGAAACTTAAAACCTTTCGCACAGCAAAGGAAACTACAAACAAGATGAAAAGACAACCCTCAGAATGGGAGAAAATATTTGCAAACAAATCAACAGACAAAGGATTAATCTCCAAGATATATAAACAGCTCATGCAGCTCAATATTGAAAAAACAAACAACCCAATCAAAAAACGGGCCTAAATAGACATGTCTCCAAAGAAGACATACAGATGGCCAAGAGGTATGTGAAAAGCTGCTCAACACCACTAATTATTAGAGAAATGCAAATCAAAACAACAATGAGGTATCACCTCACACCAGTTAGAATGGGCATCATCAGAAAATCTACAAACAACAAATGCTGGAGAGGGTGTGGAGAAAAGGGAACCCTCTTGCACTGTTGGTGGGAATGTAAACTGATACAGCCACTATGGAGAACAGTATGGAGGGTCCTTAAAAAACTAAAAATAGAATTACCATATGACCCAGCAATCCCACTACTGGGCATATACCCAGAGAAAACCATAATTCAAAGAGACACATGCACCCCAGTGTTCATTGCAGCACTATTTACAATAGCCAGGTCATGGAAGCAACCTAAATACCTGGTGACAGAAGAATGGATAAAGAATGGAATACTACTCAGCCACAAAGCGGAACGAAATTGGGTCATTTGTAGAGACATGGATGAATCTAGAGACTGTCATACAGAGTGAAGTAAGTCAGAAAGAGAAAAACAAATATTGTATATTAACGCATATATGTGAAACCTAGAAAAATGGTACAGATGAGCCAGTTTGCAAGGCAGAAATTGAGACACAGATGTAGAGAACAAACTTATGGACACCAAGGGAAGAAAGTGGGGGCAGGGGGTAGGATGAATTGGGAGACTGAGATTGACATATATACATTAATATGTATGAAATAAGTAATTTTTTTAAAAGCCACAATGAAATATCGCCTCATACCTATAAGAATGGCTATTATCAAAAAAACAAAAGATAACATGTGTTGACAAGAATGTGGAAAAATTGGAACCCTTCTACACTATTTGTGGGAATGCAATAGTGCAGCCACTGTGGAAAATAGTATGGAGGTGGCTAAGAAATTAAAATTAGAAGTACCATATGACCCAGCAATCTCACTCCTGGGTATATATCCAAAAGAATTGAAGTCAGCATCACAAGGAGATATCTGCACTGCCATATTCATGGAAGCATGGTTCCCAATAGTCAAGATATGGAAACAACTTAACTGTCCATCAGTGAATAAATGGGCAAAGAATATACAGACAATGAAATATTACTCAACCTTAAAAAAAAAAAAAGAAATCCTGCCATCTGTGACAACATAGATGAATCTGGAGAACATTATGCTAAATGAAATAAGCAGTCACAGAAGGACAAATGCTGCATGATCCCACTTATACGAGGAATCTGAAATAGTCAAACTCATAGAAGCAGACAGTAGAATGGTGGTTAGCAGGGACTGCGGGAAGGGGAATGGGGAGTTGTTGTTTGATGAGTATAAAGTTTCAGTTATGCTAGATGAATATGCTCTACAGATCTGCTATACAGCACAGTGACTATACTTAACAATACTGTATTATACACCAGAAATTTTGTTAAGAGGGCAGATCTCATGTTATGTTCAATAAAAAAAAGAAGACGATCCCAAAACAAAAACAAAAACACAGAAGACTCTTAAGTACCTGGATTTTTTAGGTATTTTATAATAAGCTCAAAAATGCTTATCAGAATGACAGAGCTCGGCCCTGCCCCCTCCCCCTCCCCGTTCAGGGAAAAAAAAAAAAGGAATGACAGAGCTGAGAAAACAAAACTTGATTAGATCATACCATAGAAGTGATTGCAAGCCTCTCCAGAGAGCCTCCAACAGGCAGTCTGGGAACCACCAAGTGAAGTCTTTCCAGCTTTATGCAGGATAAAATGATCCCAGTGGCAAGTATACTACAGAGCTAAGTCAGACCCTTCTCATGTAGGTTAGTAACCCCACACCCTGGGGTCAGCAACTTGGCAACTGACAAGGGCAGGACTGGCCAGAAAAGAGAGACTGCATCTAGGTGGATTGTTGAGAACAAGCACATCCTCACAACAGCTCAAGCAGACAGAACCTTTGTGAGACTGAGAGACTGCCTGGCCTCTTCCATGCTTGAGCCTCCCCATGTAACAAAATGAAGACATACCAAAGCAGGGTTACAAGAGTGGGGTCATTTTAAGTGTTTACAGTTAACCAGCTAATAGTTTTAATGCACACACACAAACATAATGTGGAGGTATATATACAATATAATGTAAATAATATATGTCAATATATGTAAAGTGCAAGCAGATGAAGAGAGGCAGGTTCTGACGACCAGTGCAGTGCAGGCTCAGCCACGGGGCATCTGTCCTCACAATTTCAGCAGTACAGTACCCTGCTTAAGTGAATTCAGGGGGGAATTTACCTCCAAAAAATTACCCTCTGCACTCTAATTCCATTCTAAGCTTTGATGACCACATGTTTTGAGGTTGGAGCAGTGGGGGGCCAGAAATCAGGGGGAGGAAAACTCAACGGAAGAGGCACATGTGACTTTAGTGTGGTTTCTGACTTTTCTTACAGGACTCTGTAAGATACCTCCATCTCAAAAACTGATGGCTGAGGCTACGAAAAAGGAGCAGCTCATAGAAAGGTATGAAATATAGCCTGCTACCAATATATTCCATTACAAAAAAAAAAAAGATTTTCAATATAAAAGCCATTCCCAGAGAAGCAATGTGGCAGGATGGAAATAACTGCATTATGAGTCAGAAGAATGTTTTCAGTCCTAACTCTTCCACCAACTAGATTTATGGCCTTAGATGTGTCCCGTGGAGAGACCAGGTCACTCCACTGAGCACGGCCCAGAACAGATGGCAATCCTTTGTTCACTTGCCCCCAAAGCCCTGTTCTCTGTGTTCTCCTCCTACTTCTCAGGCTGCTCTTTCTATGCATTTACAGGTGTCTCCTCTTCCTCACTCCTGAAAAATGGTGAACCCCAGCCTTAATCCTCAGACCTCTTCTCACTTCTATTAACCCTCACTCCTAGGTGGCCTCACCAGGCCTCTGGCTTTACATGCCATCATACACTCATGGCTCCCAAACTTGGATCTCTAGCCCAAATCTCTCCTCGGAACTCCAACTCTTAATCCAACTCCCTCTAGATAGCTCCACTTAGATATGTAATGAGTGTTTGAAATTTAATATGTCTAAAAACTAACCCTCGACCTCCACCTGCACATGGGCTGCTCTGAGACTTTCCCCTTCTCAGTCAATGGCTACTTATTCCAGTTGAACAGTCAAAAACTTTGGAGTGATCTTTTTTTCCTCTTTTTCTCTCACATCCTCAGCAAATACTGTCAACTCTTACCTTCAAATAAATTCAGAATCCAGACCCTTCTCACGACACTGGCTGCTACCACCCCAGAACAGGCCACAATCATCTCTCACCAGGACACTTGCTGTCACCTCTTATCTGGTCTCTGTACCTCCCGTCTGCTATTCTATGGTCTAACCTTGATGCTGCACAAGAGTGACCAATGCTAACATTGCTCTTCTGTTGAAAACCCTCTGACTGCTTCCCATTTCACTCCCAGAAACTTCCCTGCAGCTCTGCACCCCTGTAGGCAACCAGCTACCTTTATGCCCTCATTGCCTCCTGTTCTCCCACCTCACCCATACTGCTCCAGTCACTCCAGACAGCTCCCTGCTCTTCCAACATACCAAGCATAGCCCCCTCAGAACCTTTGCACTTACTGTTCCCTCTGCCTGGAATGTTCTGCCCCCACCCCGTACCTGTAGGTTCACTCTGCTCAAATATCACCTCATAAGAGAGAAGCCTTCTCTGAGAACACTGTACAAAATGGCAAACCACTCAGTCTCATCATTGCCTCTTCCCCTTTACCCTCCTTTATATATCTTCATAATTCCTATTACCACTTGATATATTCTATATCTATTTGGCTGGGGTTTTTTTTTTCTACAGCCTGCTGATTTTCCCTGTTATAATGTAAGTTCCTTGATAGCAAGGACTTTGTTTTACTCACTGTTGAACTCCCAGCACCTAGGATGGCGCCTGTCATGTGATACACACTTAAGATTGATTAATTGAAGGAAAGAATGAATAATTGAAAGAATGACATTGGCACATCATGAAGGTTTACTAACAACAGAAATAAATGGGAATAGAGCCTTCATATACACTATACAGTTGACCCTTGAACAATACAGGTTTGAACTGCGTGGGTCCACTTACGTGTAGATTTTTTTCAATATATTGGAAAAATTGGGGGAGGTTTTTGACAATTTGAGAAAACTCAGATGAATCACAAAGCCTAGAAATACTGAAAAAATTAAGAAAATTTAGGTATGTCATGAATGCGCAAAATATATGTAGATACTAGTCTGTTTTATTATTTACTACCATCAAATATACAAAAATCTATTTTAAAATTTATCAAAACTTGCACACATAAACACAGACCATGCATGGCACCATTCACAATCAAGAGAAATGTAAATAAATGTAAAGATGCAGTATTAAATCATAACAGCAGAAACTTAACTGTAGTATATACTGTACTACTGCAATAACTTCAGTAGCCACCTCCTGTTGCTATTGTGATCAGCTCAGGCGTTTCAACTATCAGCTTAATATGTCATGTGATGCTAATCATCTCTGCAAGAGCAGTTCATCTCTCCAGTAAATTTCGTGTCTCAAAAAGTCATCTCTTGCAGTTATCACGTATTTTCCGTCGTGTTTAGTAAACCTTGAATAATACCACAGGACCCATACAAAAGTGTCACTAGTGATGCTGGAAATGCTCCCAAGGAGGAGGAAAAACGTCATGACATTACAAGAAAAGGTTGATATGTACTATAGATTGAGGTCTGCTAGCTGCAGCTGCCTGTCTTTTCAAGATAAATGAATCCAGCATAAGGACTGTTATTTAAAAAAAGAAAATTTGTGAAGCCATCGCTGTAGTATGCCAGCAGGCATGAAAACCTTGCACTTTTTGTGAAATACCTTTTTATCTTGTATTGAAAATGCAGCTTTTATATGTGTGCAGAATTACTACAAGAAAGGCATAGTTATAGACTAACATGACTTGAGAAAAAGTGAAGTCATTACACAACAACTTAAAGCAAAAGTGAGGAAGATTGTAATGCCGGAGAAGGATTGTTTGATAACTTTAGAAAGAGATTTGTCTTTTAAAATGTCAAGATAGGGACTTCTCTCATGGCGCAGTGGTTAAGAATCCACCTGCCAATGCAGGGGACACGGGTTCAAGACCTGGTCCGGGAAGATCCCACATGCCACAGAGCTACTAAGCCCGCGCGCCACAACTACTGAGCCTGTGCTCTAGAGCCCGCGAGCCACAACTACTGAGCCCGTGTGCCACAACTACTGAAGCCTGCATGCCTAGGGTCTGTGCTCTGCAACAAGAGAAGCCACCGCAATGAGAAGCCCACACAGCACAACAAAGAGTAGCCCCTGCTCACGGTTAACTAGAGAAAGCCCGGGTGCAGCAATGAAGACCCAATGGAGCCAAAAATTAATTAATTAATTAATTAATTATTTTAAAAATGTCAAGATAATGGGAGGACCAGCTTCTGCTGACCAAGAGGCAGCAGACAACGTTCCAAGACACGATTAAGACAGTCATTGAAGAGAAATGATACCTGCTTGAACATGTGTTTAATGCAAACAAAAGTGCCCTATTCTAGAGGGGAAAAAAGGGCCACAAAGGACATTCATTAGTAAAGAAGAGAACTAAGCACCAGAATCTAAGGCAGGAAGGCGTACTCTAACTCTACTGTTGTGTGTAAATGCAGTCAGGTTTATGATTAGGACTGCCTTATCTATAAAGCTGCTAACTTCAAGCCTTGAAGGGACAAGATAAACACCAGCTGCCAGTCTTTTGGTTGTATAACAAGAAGGCCTGGACAATGAGAACCCTTTTTCTGGATTGGTTCCTTCCATGCCTTGTCCCTAAAATCAGGAAGTTCCTTGCCAGTAAGGGACTGTCTTTTAAAGTTCTTTTGATATTGGATAATGCCCCTGGCCACCCAGAACCCATGATTTCAACACAAAGTGCTGAAATGCTCTATGGAAGCAATTGTCAGTGCTATGGAAGAAAACAGAACATTGGGAAAGTCTACAAGGATTACACCACTGAAGATGCCATTGTTGTCATAGGAAAAGCCGTGAAAGCCATCAAGCCTGAAACAATAAATTCCTCCTGCTGGAGAAGACTGTGTCCAGATCTTATGCGTGACTTCACAGGATTTATGACAGAGCCAATCAAGGAAATCATGAAAGAGATTGTGGATATGGCAAAAAAATAAAAATAAAAAGCAGGGGGTGAAGGGTTTCAAGATAAAGATCTTGGAGAAATTCAGGAGCTAATAGAGGGAGGGCTTCCCTGGTGGCGCAGTGGTTAAGAATCCGCCACCAATGCAGGGGACACTGGTTCGAACCCTGGTCCAGGAAGGTCCCACATGCTGGAGAGCAACTAAACCCGTCTGCCAGAACTACTGAGCCTCCGCTCTAGAGCTCATGAGCCACAACTACTGAGCCCGCGTGCCACAACTACTGAAGCCTACACACCTAGAGCCTGTGCTCCACAACAAGAGAAGCCACCGTAATGAGAAGCCTATGCACTGCAATGAAGAGTAGCCCCCGCTCGCTGCAACTACAGGATGACCCAACACAGCCAAAAAAAAAAAAGAGCTTAACAGAGGGAATTCCCTGGCCGTCCAATGGTTAGGACTCTGTGTTTCCACTGCAGAGGGCAAGGATTCGATCCCTGGTCTGGGAACTAAGACCCCGCATGTCACGCACAGCGTGGCCAAACACACACACACACACACACACACACACACACACACACAGAGCTAACAGACACCACACCAGAGGAATTAACAGAAGACAACTTGATAGAGATGAGTGCTTCTGAACCAGTGCAAGATGATGAGGAAGAAAACATAGAAGAAGCAGTGCCAGAAAACAAACTGACATTAGACAATCTGGCAGAAGGGCTCCAATTATTTAAGACTGATTTTGACTTATTTTATAACATGGACCCTTCTATGATACAGGCACTGAAACTAAAGCAAATGATGGAAGAAGAATTGGTACCTTATAGAAATGAAAAAGCAAAAACGTCAGACAGAAATTACAATGTGTTTCCATAAAGTCACATTACATGTACCTGCCTCTTCAGCCTCCCCTTCATCTCCTCTACCTCTTCTGCCTCTGCCACCCCCGAGACAGCAGGACCAAGCTTCCTCTTCCTCTGCCCCCTCAGCCCACTCAATGTGGAGATGACGAAGATGAAGACCTTTATGATGATCCACTTCCCCTTAATGAATAGTAAATAATTATCATACCCTACTGTCAATAGATTTATCTGTTGTGTTTGTGTGTGTGTCTTCATGTGAAAATCTAAAAACTGCACGGCAAGAACTGTATGAGAAGTTTTTGTGTCATCATCGTCATCATTGCTTAAGTACTTGTCATGTAGAACATCGTGTGTAAGACTTGTACTGAGGTGGATAGCCCATCCTTACATAGGTATAAAGTGAGTGATATTTACAGTAATATAAAATTAATAATGTGTTAGTTTTCTTACTATTTTCTAACTTTGCTTTCAAAGAATTACATTACTGTACAGTATGCCTCTTTCTCTCATATTTGGAGAAACTATCAGCCTGTCATCACAGGTAAGTGGGGTTTTTTAAAGTAACAATGTTTCCAATACCGTGCTATGAATATGACTGTAATGCTGTATACTATAAAAACTTTATAATGATTCATTCATTAGTATATAGGCTAGGGTTCCATGAAATAATCATATTGCTGCTTCTTTTTCATTATCCATGTATGATTCATTATACTTGTAAATAAAAATGAATTTCTTTTTCACATTATCTTTTCATTTTTGATGTCTAGTGTTAGGAATACAAATAACACCTACAGTATTTTGTATCATATAAGACAATATGGGGCTTCCCTGGTGGCGCAGTGGTTGAGAGTCCGCCTGCCGCTGCAGGGGACACGGGTTCGTGCCCCGGTCCGGGAAGATCCCACATGACGCGGAGCAGCTGGGCCCGTGAGCCATGGCCGCTGAGCCTGCGCGTCCGGAGCCTGTGCTCCGCAACGGGAGAGGCCACAACAGTGAGAGGCCCGCGTACCGCAAAAAAAAAAAAAAAAAAAAAAAAGACAATATGGATGTAGTTACCAATAGACAATTCATCTTATAAACAGATGACATAAACTTATGGTATTGATGAGTACAGTACAGTACTGTAAATATATTTTCTCTTCCTTATGATTTTAATAACATTTTCTTTTCTCTAGCTTACTCACTCTATTATAAGAATACAGTGTAGAATCATACAACATACAAAATATGTTAATCTACTGTTTATGCTGTCAGTATGGCCTCCAGTTAACTACTAATAATTTATTAGTAGTTAAGTTTGAGGGGAATCAAAAGTTTCATGTGGATTTTCAACTATATGGTGGGTTGGTGCCCCTAACTCCCTCGTTGTTCAAGGGTCAACTGTACTTATATTTGTATCATGTTCAGTACTGCTACACCAATTACGGTCCTCTCAACTCACAATTAACATCAATAAAAATAATTTAGTTAGCTATATATGTGATGCTTTCTGATCATGTTTATTTATTCAACAAATAAGATATTTGAACTGATCTGATTTTACCCTCCTATCAAATTCAAGAACCTAAAACATTATTTAAATCTCTTCCAATTGCCTCCTTCTACCATCTCCTTTAACAAAATTAATTATGCTCACAAATACCCTATGCAAATAAACTCCTCTTATTTTTTTCTCTTCAACATAGAAAAACATTCCTGACATGGTTTGACTCCAATAGAAAGAAACAAAATGGTGGGAGGTGGGGTAACTCATAACTTGAAAATCAAAAGTGATCCATCTTCTCCCTATCAGGGGTTTGATGAAAGATACCAATGGAGACAAACTTGACTACATTTCCTACATGGATGAACTCGCTGCCTGCATAGGCACGAAGCCCAATGTCCCACTTCTGTTCCTCAAGGATCCCAGACTAGCTTGGGAAGTTTTCTTCGGACCATGTACTCCTTACCAGTATCGCCTAATGGGCCCTGGAAAATGGGATGGAGCCAGAAATGCCATCCTGACCCAGTGGGACAGGACACTGAAACCCTTAAAAACTCGAATAGTTCCCGATTCCTCCAAGGCTGCCTCCATGTCACATTATTTGAAAGCTTGGGGGGCACCTATCCTGCTCGCCTCCCTTCTACTGATCTGTAAATCTTCACTCTTTTTTGAAATTGGTGCCAGAAAAACTATGGGACAGAATTTGTCCTTACTTAATAAGTATTTGGCGAGGATAAATTTGCTTGGTTATGAGGGTTGTACCAAGTCATATTAATTCTATTCCCAAATATCTTGTGTTTTTCACTTCTCCTCTCCATCACAACTGTTATCATCCAAGGTTAGGTCTAATCATCTCTTATCTGAATTACTGTACTATCTTTCTCTCTAGTCTCAGTATCCCCTTTTTTTTTTTGCCTCCTTTACCTAAGCAATTATTCTAAAATAAAAAATATTGTCATTGTTTCTATCAAGATCCTGGCAGGAATAAGATAGAACTCAAATTAGGTAATTTAATATAAAGATTATGTCAAGTGGTTTGGGCAGAGTGTAGGGAAATCA